TTTTTTTTTTTTTTTGTCAATCATTCTCATTTTTTATGCCAAATTCATTCCAAAAATTGAGAACGATTTTTTTTTTGTAATGTTTTAACAAATTTGGAATTTTGGTTGTATCTTTTGTAAAATATATTTATAAAAATAATTACGTTTAAAAAAAACAACAACGATATTTTATCATTTGTAGATAAAAAAAAATAACTAAATGAATCGGAAGACATGTAAATCACAGTTTTTAAATGAAAAATATGTTTCATAAAAAAAAGTGATAAGAAAATAATTCAAAATGATAAAAAAAAATCGTATATTATAACAAAAAAGATGTTTAAATGAGTAATGGATTAGTGAATCGAAAATTGTGGCAATTTTAAAAAACATGTTACCATTATTGAAATGAAATCTTTAGAATATTTTTTACTTTTAGTTAAGTTGCATATATTGCATAACTATATATGAAAAAATTAAAATATTTAAATTTCAAATAGCGATTTATTTATACGTGTATAATAAAGTGTACAGTCCAAATAATTAAATTTTATTTAGCATTTGTATTGCTAATATTGATACCGTGATTAGTGTAAAGTCCAACTCTCATTTTTACGGTAAATTTTTATTATATTAAAATGAACTGATACGTCTAAAAAGAGATATGAATTGAATTAAAAAGATTGAATCATGGTTAAACATATTGATATCATAATTATATTGTTTTTAAAAAATATTCCATAAAATTTGGTTTCATAATAATACTGCTTTTAAATATAATTGATTCCAAATAGCTGGATTTAGTGTTTAATCAAATATTATGGAATATCTTTTTAAAAATATCTAACTATTAATTTATTTTTTGTTTCTTATTTATATTTTATTTTTATTTTTGCCAATTGAAAATATTATGTTTGATCACATTGTGCACGCATATAATTTTTTAGATATAAAGTTGTGAACCTACAAATATCTTATGTGGTTCACAATCCATATAAATAATTGACAATTGTCAAAATTTAGAGCATCTCCAATGCTCTAATGTTGTTATAGAAATTTTTTTGACAAATGTCAAAAAATTAAATAGATTGTGAACCATATAGGACAAATGTTGAGTTCACAACTATTAAATTAAAAAACCATCTCCAATGCACAATGTTGCCTAATTACAATATTATCTACTTGCCAAATACAAAAATTTTAATATGAATTAATAAAATTAATAAAATAATTAAATAGTTTAAAAATGGTAATAATAATTCTCTCTCTTCTCCTCATTGGCTAATTAGAATGTGGAGTAGAATGGGAATGAACTACATTCTTCTCTACATTGTAGACATTAATTATGTCCATATCATCACAACATTTGTGATCACATTGTACATTGGAGGATGGACAATTGTGATACTAATAAATGTGTTGATGTAGAAGGTAAAATACCACTACAACATTGAGCATTGGAGATGCTCTTATGTGATGACGACATTTATGCATTGTAAATGCTCTTATTTTGTTTTAAATAATTTCAAATATACTTCTATCCATTCCAAATAAAATTCATACTATATAAATTCGAACATTTCGTACCAAAAATAAATCACCCACTTTATACCACAAAATCAGACATTTATTATTAACAACACATTTTCTATGAAAAAATAAAAATGACTATCAGATACTTAAAATAAACCATCAACTTTATGCCAAAATTGGATTTATTAATTTTATCAAGTTTATACCATAAATTAATTAAGTATTTTCTAAAAGTCATTTCTATATTTGTCCAAAATATTTTTTAGCGGCACATTAATATTATTTATATTTTTGTATTTGGTTATCTTGTCTACGAAGAAAAAGATAATCTTGCAACTCTACTATGCCGACAAAAAGATGTATGAAAACTAACATAAGTATTAATTTATTATGTTTTACTCAATACAAGAAATGTAATATAGATATAAAGATTAACGATTAATTCTATATAATTGCTCAATCAAGTCTATATATTTAAACTAAGGATTTCGAAAGTTTCTATAATACCTCCATATTTGTTTCCATAAAACTAAATCATCCCAAATTTAAATTTAACTAATAAAGGTAATAACCATATATATTTGACTAAAAAGATTATGTATTGCATTAATTACATTAATTTTTGTTAATTACTATTTTTAGAAAATAATTAATAAAATTGGTGGGAAAATATTTGTAAAAGTGAATTATGTTAATCTTTACTATATTTTGTTCTAATATTATTTTCTATTTTGGACGTGGTTCATAAGGCATAAATTTTTTCTTCAATCTTTATTTTGTATAAAAAAAATTATACCACAAATTTTTTCTTCAATCTTTATTTTGTATAAAAAAAATTATACCACGAACCAAAAATATATTTAAAAGCTAATAACCTTTTTATTATCATCAATTTTTTACATATAATATGTCAAATCATGATATTCGATTTTACATCTTATTGTACATAAAACTAAATAAATAATTATATTTAGCTTTATAATAAAAATTAAATTAAATATTATTATGAATTGTAAAAAAAATATTTAAATTAATTTAACTACAAATTAATCCTATCATATAAGTTAAAAATTTATTGTAATATAAGATGTTAAGCTGCATACACGACGAGTCTCATTTTAAATATATTTTTCTCCACTTTTTCTTTTCTCTTCATCTTTTTTTTTTATAATTATAAAAAATTTACTAACATAAATTATAAATATATTTAAAAGCTAACAAATTTTTTTATTTATTATCAGTTTTTTATTCGTGAGACAAGCGACTGATAGTGGGACCGGATATCAAATTAATCTTGTCTTGATGATATTTGACATTTGTATTGTACATAAAAATAAATAATAATTATATTTAACTTAATAATAACAATTAAATTATTTACTAATATTGATTGAAAAAAAAACATTTAAATTGACTTAACTACAAATTAGTTATATGATATAAGTCAAAAATTATTTAAATATAATATGTTAAGACTTAACTACATCTAAATTGTCATTTTAAATAATATATAGTTTATAAAAAATATTTGAAAATTAAACTTTTTTTTTTTAAATTTTAATTTTAAATGTAAATTTCTTTACAGACATCAGTATAATACACGAGTATTGTACTAATACCAATATATTTTTTTATACAATCACACCCTAATTATCTTTTGGGAAGACATTTTTCGGAGAAAAATGTTGGATGCAATTGAAAATAAGGAAAGAAGTAGTTGTCTTGCAACAAGTACGAGCATGGCTTGTATTAATACGTACTAAGTCTCATCCAAGTCATAATTTTTGATACTTGTTGACTGAAAAAATTGCATTTTTTAGATTTAAAAAAAAAAAAATAATGTTTCTATTTTATATCTTACAATTGAGTCAATATATCAAAATGTTGATCTTGTGTGAAATGAATCAAATAAATGTCAGTTTAATGACTTTGTGTAATGCTTTGAAGCATTAAAAAAATGTAAAGGTGAGTTGGAAATTGGAGTTCGTTAAACGAAACATAGTTCTTTCTATGTGTTTATAATATATTTTTTTTAATCAAAGATTCTTCTTTAAACTACCTGTCACTCTTTTTTTTTTTTTTA